AGGTTCCTGTTTTAGGAAACTCCCTCTTAGCCACTGGGGTGAGAACTTGGGTTCAACTTGCTAATGGTGTTGTTTTAATTCTTAATGTCTGAAAATCTAAGTAGTCCAAATGTAACAGCTTAACAAACAGTTTGCTGGGGGTTCTGTGCGTTGTGCTGATGGGTGTGCTGGGCATGTGCTGGGTACCTCACATTTTGGGGTAACTCCTATTCTCACGGTCTTTGGACATATCTAGTTCAGGCTTCCTCACATGGTTCTCATAGGACAAAACATGTCCAGGCCTGGACATTGTATCCTGGCAGTCACAGGGCCAGTACAGATTCACAAACCTAGAAAATATTCCTCCTCGTGAGGTAAGAAGTGGCCAAGAGCCATGCAGACAGAGATGGGAAGAGTCTGCCCACAGGTGCCATCTACTACCGTTCCTGGGGCTCTATCCTGAGGATCCCTTTTTTCTCTAGAGCAGTGGTTCTCACCTTTCCTAATGCCTCGACCCTTTAATGCAGTTTCTCATGTGGTGGTGACCCCCCAACCATAAAATTATTTTCGTTGCTACTTCATAACTAATTTTGTTATGAATCAGGCAATTCCTATAAAGGGTCATTTGACCCCCAAAGGGGTCACGACCCACAGATTGAGAACCACTGCTCTAGAGGATTCCTTCTTTCTTTCGTGGTTTCACCCAAGCTGAGTCCCAAATATCTCTCCCAGAGCACCAGGCTTGATATTTCCATCAAGGTCAGGGATTGTCAGACTTCACTCTGCAGCAGAATTCCACGGAAAAATTGCTTGTTTGTTTTTTAATCTTAAATTTTCATTCCCCCACCCCACCCTCCACCGAGCAGATGCCTTCTTCAGTCTTTCCCAGCTGAGTCTACTGGTAAACTGCCCAGTCATTCATTGCTCATTAAGTAACTCAATAAATAAATGAAAGTTATGGTTCCTTCTTTCATGACCCATTCTGAGCAGATCAGCAAGTCCTGTCAGCATTAACTTTAAAACATATGCTGGATGAATGTATTTATCCCTACTTCAAATGGTACCAATGTATTTATCCCCACTTCAAATGGTACCACTCTAGTGGTACCAGTTTGTGGTAATTTATTACAACAGTCACAGCAATACCCCATCATTTCTGCACACTTAGTGATGTAGTGGCTTCTGTGTTGGGCTGCTAAGTGTAATATCAGCAATGTCAGCAACTCAAAACCACCAGCCACTCTTTGGGAGAAGGATGAGGCTTTTTCACTCCTGTAAAGATGTAGAGACTTAGAAACTCACAGGGGCAGTTCTACTCCATCCTCTAGGGTCTCTGTGAGTTGGAGTCTGCTTGATGGCAGTGAGTGAGGGCTAATTCAGTAGCCTTTCTACTAATGACCCAGCTTTTAACCCCTCGCCTACATACCACCATGCACACTACAACATAACAAGTACCTCAAAACATAATTCCCCTGCTTAAGAATAATATTACCTAAAATAAATGTAAACCACCATGTCAACAGGTTAAAGAGAACAAAATATGGTAAAATTGTATTAATATGATCTGTAGAAAAATGAGCAGAAAAAGCAAGCTACAAAATCCAACAGCCATTCATGCTAAAAACTCTTGTCAAGCTAGAAACAGGGGGAGAAACCCCTCAAATTGATGAAGGTCATGTATGAAAACTCTACAGCTGACAACATAATTAATAGAGAAAGACTGGACGCTTTGCCTCTAAGATTGGGAATGAAGCAAGCATAGCCATTATTGCCATTCAGTCAACAGAGTGCTGGAGTTCTAGCCAGTACATTATGGAAGAAAGCGAAGCAAAGAAAAAGGAAGGGAGTAGTGAGGGAAGGAAGGAAAAGGGAAGAACGGACATATAAATTAGAAGAAGTAAATAAAGCTCTCCCAATTTGCGGATATCATAATTACATTTTTTTAAATCCAGTAAATCTACAAAACGGCTCCTAGAACTAATAAGTGAATTGCAGAATAAAATCTCAGAACAAATCATAAAATCAATCACATTTCTATACATAAAACAATTTCAGGGAAAACTGAAATGAAAAGTAAAATATCACTTAAAAATCACAGAAAATACAAACGTAAAATCTAACACACATATACAGGATTTTTATGATGAGAATTACAAAATGATGATGGAAGATATCAAAAGCCTACATACAGGCAGTCACTGGTTACAAATATCCAAAATATGGACAAAATATATCCAAAACATTTGCCCTATAATGTTATGTTAATTTTCTCTCACTTTCAAATAATTGAACCAA